TCCCTATTTACAATATTGATTTCCCCCCCCCCTCCTAAATGAGAGAACTGACTGAAGGCTGAAAACAACTAGCAGGAATGAAGAATGAATCCTGGTGGTTGGGCTTAGAGTAAAACGGGAAGAAATAGCAAAAACTTTTTTTTAAAAAAATCAATGAGTAGAAACCATAATTGATGAAATCCTGAAAAAAAGAATATGACGTCCAAACACAATAGGAGGGAAATAGAAGAAAAATAGTTCCTTTAAACATGTAATGGACGGGGCTTGCTATTGGGGGGGGGGGAGGCACTACATAAATGAAATTGCATCACCATAGATTATAGAAAGAAGATGTCTACATTATTCATGAAAGAATCAGTTCGTGCTCCTAAGCTTAAGCTTTCGGTGATTGATTATTGAAGAACAGAGGATGTGCAGTCAATTCTGATCTTCCTGTTATTGGTATAGAAAGGCATAAAACTGCAAGCTCTCTGTCCTGGCAATGTCTTTCTCCCCCAATTTTATGCTGGCTGCAAAATGCTGCAGGCTGCAGTTCCACTACTTTGAGTCCTAGGGCGCTAAAAGGATTGGGCTTATTTGGTGTAAGATCAAAATGTAAAAATGTCTTTGATCTAAAATCATAAACACTTCGTTACATGAAAGCTATGTGTCTTGAAAAGCATTCCCCGGCTATTCATACCCATGTTTTGAGACAGACAAGTCCAGAGCAGGGGTGAGTGTGTATGCGTGGTTGTATCTTCCATTATTTGCTAAATTCTGTTATTTAGGTTAAAAAAAATGCACTTGTTTTATCCATCACTGTATTAATATGACCATTGGTTCCAGGAGCAAGAAACATCTATAGATTTTGGCTGTTTTATGCACTTTTCATATGTCTGCACTACTTATTTCAATTCCAAATCTAGCTTCTTTCACCCAGTCTTGTAGACTATGCAGAGGACTGTCAGGGAGGTGTGGGAAGATTTTTTTTTTTTTTTGTTCTGAAATGCAAGGAATCTAAGATTTGCAACTTTGTAATGAGTCCAAACCTGAACACGAGAAAAATTCCTCTTCTCACGCTACTTAGGCTTGGATATGATTAAAAAAACAACAACAGCAAGAGGAACCTCCACAGAAGTGTGAAATGAAATAATTGTTTCTTATCATTGTGAGAAGAAACAGAAATAATACCCTTTCAGAGGTTGCTGAGAACATTTCTTTTTTCCAGCAGCCTCTGATAAATATTTTGAGAACTACACAACTTTTCCTATTAAATAAAGAAACTGTGGTGGAAGGGGTCCCCATAGAACGGCATCAGTTTGTGGGATGCCAGAAACAGGGCCACGCAAACAAGCAAAGCCCCATCCACAGGATGCAAACAGTACACAAAACCACACCCCTTTCTGTCCATGGAAAAACCTTCACGGAACCAGTCCCTGGTGCCCAAAAGATTGGTAGCTGCTGGGGGTATATTTAATAATATTTAATATTTAATAAATTGCATGGTGCATCTTGTCTAAATTATCATCCTATGCCATAGTTATTTTGACCTCAAGTAGCTATGGTCAGGAATGGTCAATCCGTAGATTCCAATACCATTAGAAAATTGTAAACCCCTTGCTTTAATTCTGCTACTTGACTGCTTGATAAAGAGAATTTTAATATTTTTGTATAGCACACCTAATAACATATCTGAATCAGAAATAGGAACATGGATGTGGTGATGCTGGTTGTGCTTCCCCTAACACATTCTGTCAGGACTGTGTCAAAACTAGAAATACATCTAAATAATTAGTAACAACAACAAAATATTATTTTAGATAGGCATAGATTGTGTTTTAAGAAGCTTAAGGTGTGTTGTGATTCAGTAATTTAGGCTCTTCTGAAAGTTCTTTTTTTGTACACCATCCCAAACTGTATCCATACCATGGCTTTCAGGCACCTTGCACCTAGCAGTTTTGTTACCTTATGCAAATCCAAATCTGCTATTCCTATAGATCAGGGGTCCCCAACCCCCGGCCTGCAGACTGGCACCAGGCCACGGCCTGCCAGAAATTGGGTCACGCAAGCAAGCAAAGCCCATCTGCGCATATACGGGATGCAGGCAGTGCATGAAACCATGCCCCCCTCCCCAGTCTGTGGAAAAAATCACTCTCCATGGAACCGGTCTGCGGCACCCAAAAGGTTGGGGGCCACTGCTACAGATGATTCTGTCCCCAGAATACATGTAATGAGAATTGTTCCATGTTTATCAGGTTAGATGCAGAGTGTTCCCTCATCTGTTTCTTCTTGCGGTGAAGAGTGCATTTTATTTATGTATTTATTAGATTTTTATTCCACCTTTATTACTTTATCAGTAACTCAAGGCAACGAACATGCCTTAATAAACCTCCTATTTTCCCCACAACAACACTCCTGTGCTGAGGAAAGAGTAACTGGCCCATGGTCACCCACTGGCTTTCATGCGTAAGATGAGACTAGAATTCACAATCTCTTGGTTTCCAGGTCAAACCTACACACCAGTTTACTTTTGTGTTATTAGAAATGCTCATGTTGTTGGTGGAAAGTTTTTTCTATAGAGTCATTTGGCAGTTGGACATCCCATAAATTAAATAAAGAATTTGTTCCCCCTACTGAATGCTTTTTTTTTTTAAAAAAAAGATTCCCTATCCTGGCAGTGAAAATTAAAAGATAAAGAAAGCAGATACATTTATTACAGTTGGCTCTTCCACAAGATTTGGAATTAAATTGTTTCCACATTTGATGCCTGGTTAAGCGTGTTTTGACATATAGATAATAAAAGTTCTTATCCTTCACTGATGGTGGAGAATTAATAATAGAAACAATACAGTGAGGGCTGCTGTACATGAGGTGGAATAAGAAATTTTTATTTCAGTAGTTATTTTTTTAAGACAAGCCTTTTAAATATTTCTTTATTGTAACAGATAGAATCTGACACATGCATTTTCATACATCTTTGTCAAAAACACATTTCTTGTGTTGTAATTCTATACACTAATGATGAATAACAGTAAAAAGTTGATGATAGCAACTATAGCTGGTTATAATATAGCTCTTTGTTTAATGTATTTGGTTTTTATCCTTTATCTTAGCCTTGAGGAAAAGAAATAGGGTGGTAGATAACAATTTATGATTATGAAATTCTTATAATTTGCAAAGAGGTGTGTGAGCATCCATTAAATGGATTTTTTTTCAGCTCATCATAGCCTCCAGGGAAGGGATTGTGTCTAAGAGGTGATACACTTTTAATGACAACCTAAGATGTGAAACCCCAAAAGGAGACTTGAGGGTGGCTTATTGATGTCATTAACCTGGTGAAAACCGCTTGAGGAATTATGTTTTATCTATACAACATCAATCATCTTGAATAGCATGAAAGATTAATGTGCTGGCTTTCCTTGGAGCAACTGACATATTTAATTCAGGAAGTGACTCTTAATCTAGTTTAGAGTTTTAGTTAGTTTCTTAATTAGCATATTATATTTCATCTTTCTTCTGTTGCTCATAAGGCACATAGTAGATGTTTCTCCATATTTTACTATTCTCAGAAGCAGTCTGGTGAAACAGATTGGGCTAAGAATTGTGTTCCAGTATCAAGCAAATTCAAAGTTTGCCAGTAGGCTTGGTTCACGTACCACCAAAAGCCATAAACTATAGCTTAAGTATCATAGCAGAGTTCATCCATAATACAAAGCATAATACAAGGCCAATATTTACTTTAAAAGTAATGACTAATAAGGATTTTAACTTGTTCCTACTGATTGAAATTACACACTGTACAAACCCATAATGTGGTTCCTTTGGTTTTGGCTTAATAGGCTATGAATCTAATCTGGTTGCCCATTGTGCATGCGTTAGTACAATACATGAATGTGACCATTGCAGCTAATTAAGCAAATCTTGATTAAAACAAACTACAAAGGTGAGCTGAAGTCTGCTGATGAATTGGTGGATACATCTGCAACAATATTGAAAATGTTTGCCATTGCCATTTTACCCTTAGCACAACACTCGCCTCCAGTGGCTGCTTCAACATTCCAAGGAAAGAATCCAAAGTTCAATTCCGATTGGAATTCTAGCTGAAAAACTGAGATAGAAGCACCAATGTTCTATCAAGTGTAAGGTAGATTTCCATATTCCTGAGACACAATAAGATTTGTTGCCCAAACTCTACCATCTCACAATTCAAAAATCAAGTGCTTTTAATAGATCGCCGTTCTGGCTGTCCAAACATTTTTCTTATAACGAATCTGTACTGTACTTATTTATGTTTCTTCTGTAATAAGGTCATGCATCAGCCTTCAGAATAACTTACGGGGATGGAAAAAAACAAAGGAGGAAGAATTAGGCAAGGACAGTGAAGAGAAATTTTATATATGTAGTCTTATTTATTGCCTAGATATAAGTCTTAGCTGCGTACTGATATTAATGCTCTGTTCCACTTGCCTTGACAAGAAAAGGTGCATTGCATTCTAGCTATCCATTTTCCTTTAAAGGATCCAAATCAAAACAAACTTAGTTTTTTAAAAAAACTATCTAAATTAATATAATGAAAGAATGATAAAGAAGGGAGGGGGGGAAACCTCTCACATTTTTTATGTTTCTTAACAACTGTGCATCAACTCTTGAGAAGAACCTGAAAGAGATGTCAGTGGAAAATGAGTACTGTACAAAAGAGATTTTAAATATTTCGATCAAATCACTTTTTCAAATTTAGGTTTTAAAAGGAGGAGCAAGGGGATTTGAAGAACATTGTCAATGTTCCTGCTTTCTGCTATCTGATGTTTTTTGCATACTGGTTGAGTCTGATAAGTCTCTAGAATAACTGCTAAATACAAGATGTTTCATAAAAATGACCTATATCGCTAATCATATTTAGTATATTTCTTAGTAATTTGTAATCCACAATGAATATGGGTTTGTTTCATATTTATGTTGTGTTTTTAATCATATTTTTGGCTTTTTTTCTGAAAATGCCTATTTTTTTTTTTTCATTTCAGCAAGGGAAACCCTATGTTTTTGATAGAGTATTGCCTCCCAATACATCCCAGGAACAAGTTTATAATGCCTGTGCCAAGCAAATTGTTAAAGGTAAGAGTTTTTTTAAACAAATATTTTTGTGGTAGAGAAATTGGTGCTGAGCAGAAGTAGGGAATATGTAGAAAGCTCATGTAAAAGGGATGGGCAGATTGTGTAAATGGCCTGCTGGTTTTTGGGTGTGTGTGTGTGGGTTGTTCCTCCTGATGTGTGAAAATATACATTTATATAAATATTTTTAAAAATAAAATTTTAGACTCCTCTGAAAGCTCATGGATGTTAACTCCTTTTTCTAAGTGGTAGAAGGCATGAAAAATCATGCAAATAATTAAATAATGACACTCTTTTTGATGTCCTTTCCCGTTCAAGAAAATTCAGGAGATGACAATGTGACTATTTGCACAGAATAAATGAATGAGCATGCTGGTTTCCATCAGGGTTTCATCTGTAACACTGATGTGTTCTCTTAAAAAAAAAAAACCGAGTCAACAAACTATCATTTGTTTTCCTTGCTATTATCTACTCTGGGATAAGATCTCAAGTAAGGGCCATGTTCTGGAGAAGGCTGATTAATTTACATAAACCAGCATTCTTTGATGTTGATCCTCCTGTGAGATTATAGTAGTGCTTATGACCATGGAGTTTCATGGCTGAATATCTTAAATGTATTACAATTTTAATGTTACAGGGTCTCCCTGAACCTCATTTTAGTTACATGTATTACCATTTTGCCATATTTCTTAATTTATATAGTATAATTAACTAGAATATTTTGTATAACAGTGAACAGAAAGTAGCTGAAGCAGTATATTATGCATTAACTTGCAGATTAACCAATATTGAGACAGTTGGTTAGAGCTCTTTATTTAAAGTGATTTACTGTAACTTCTCCATTATGCTGTTGACACAATTATAGTTTATCCCTTAGCTATTTATACTGCAGATGTGAAACACTTTTCATAGTTCCAAAAGAAGAGAATATGCGTAGCTCAGAATTGAACTATGGAATCCTTGGTGCTCTCTGAATTTGGTTGTTTGCTTGTGGACTTTTCACTACCCACCTAGGTAACATCATCAGTGTGAATGAGTTTGGATTTGTTCCCTGTTTACTCTCCCTTTGTGAATTGGAATTCGGTTCAGTGAGTGTAATATAAAGTTAGGAAACAAGGAATTACGGATGTATAGCCCATAATTTAGACCATCCTTTATGAGATAACCATCTATGCTATTTGATGTGAATGGTTTATTAAACTGAATGATTAAAAATACTCATTTAAGTCTAATTGTCATCCATCAAGTAATTAGCACATTAGTGAGCTCATATTAGGGCAGTTCACTGAGAAAAAAATATTCCCTCTCACTCAAGGTGCAAAGCACGGTTCTTTGCAGGATAATTTCTCTCACTACATGATTTCAAAGAAGCGTTACTATTTGTGTAATGAGTTTGATTCTGATATGTGTCAAGAGTGACTTTTAAAATTTCTGATAATATGAAACATTAGTAAGTATTAATCATTATTAAATGCTGTGGGCATTTAGTATGGTTGCAAGGTTTGCTTTGTTCAGATAACAAGATTTACATCTGCAATTTTTCAGACCTGCTTGAAAACGTGAGACAATTTGGTTAATAGATTTTTCTCCCCCTCCCCATGAATCATTTAACACTTTCTCATATTCTCAGGGAAGCTGGACTCTTGGGTCCATTGTTGTAATTGGTGTGAATCTGGTAACACTTAAAAGTTATGCTCATAATAGAGGCTGTCATTTTGTTCAGTAAGTGGATTACTTATTTAAAATTACACCAGTATAGGCAATCCTCGATTTACGACCACAGTTGAGCCCAAAGTTTCCATTGCTAAGTGAGACAGTTGCTAAGTGAGTTTTGCCCCATTTTATGACCATCTTTGCCGCAGTTGTTAAGTGAACCACTACAGCTGTTAAGTTAGTCACACGGTTGTTAAGTGAATCTACGCTCCCCATTGACTTTGCTTGCCAGAAGGTTGCAAAAGGTGATCACATGACCCCAGGACACTGCAACAGTAATAAACATGAGCCAGTTGCCAAGCATTCAAATTTTGATCAAGTGACTACAGGGATGCTGCAAAAAACAGTCATAAATCACTTCTTTTCAGTGCCATTGCAACTTTGAATGATCACTAAATGAATGGATGTAAATCGAGGAATACCTGTGGTAAATCTTATTGACATGCAGTTTGGAATATTAGTCTTCATTCAGAAAAGTATATTTGTAGGAGGAAAGATCTTGATGCCAGAGCACTAAAAAAAACCCCTTAGAATTGTGTGGAATCTTAACACCTCTGCCTTCCATCTTTACTAGTGAGGCTTCAAAGATGTATTTCCTCACATCCCCCCGCCTTTTTCATTCTCTCTCTCTCAGGCTGTTTAGTGAATAGTCCATTTTCTATGCAGGAAAATAATTGTTCTATCTGCTGAATCCTAGTTATGGAAAAGAATTACTGTAAATGCCGGCGTATAAGACGACTTCCGTGAGTGCTGAAATCGGCGCCAAAGACGGGGGTCGTCTTATACGCCGAGTCGTCTTATACGCCGGAAATACTGGTAGTTTCCGGCGTATAAGACGACGTTCTAGGAATGCGGCCCGGCTATAAAGACGGGGGTTGTCTTATACGCCGGGTCACCTTGTACGCCGGCATTTACGGTAACATTATGATTGAAGTTCATAGAAATGAGAAATCACCAATATACATAGGCTGATAGCATTTTGTCTTTTTGTTTACAGAACATGTAAATATGTTCAGTTTTCACTTTCACACGCAAACGTGGATCTGAAGTAAATCTGGAAATTGAACTTGCTGCAATCTTGATTTTTTGTGTTTGTTAAAAGTAGCGAAAAAAGTTGATATATTAGATACAGAAATGATGGCAACTAATAAAAAAATGGAGGAATTGATCATCCTTCTAGAAATGGATAGGGCAGCATTTTACCTACGTTTTCAAAACGTGGTAGAGAAGAAGGATGAGGATTTGGGTGCTATCATGGCAGATTTGATTGCTGAGGCCCTACAAAGGGACAAACAAGAGATTTTGATACAGATAGATGAAGCGTACAGAATTCATACAAATTATGCCAGACGCAACAGACTTCCACGAGAAGTACATATCAGATTTCCTAGGAAAAAGATGAGAGATATAATCTATAATATCACAAGAGAGGATCCAATGATTTACAAAGGTGTGGAAATACAAACTCGAAAACAGATACTAAAGAAGATAAGAGAACAGAGAAGGGATTATAGATTCCTTAGTGCTTATTTAATTAAAAGAAGTATACTGTTCAGATGGCTAATCCCGGAAGGGATGTTGATATCATGGAGGGAGAGGAGAATTAAGATAGATAGTCTAGAGAAAGCACAGGAATTCTATGACTAATTTGGAAGGAGTGGAGGAAGAGAATAGCAGCAAGGAAGAATTGGAATCTAAAAGCCAGGAAGACCAACAGCAAGAAGTAAGGGAAATAGAACGAGGGACAGAAAGCAAGGAAGAAAAAGGACAGAGGAAAGAAAGAGGAGTAGGCATAAGAACAAGACAAACACACAAATAAAACACACAAGTAGAAAATGGAAAAGGAGATTAGGTTATTATCTATTAATATTAATGGATTAAATGCACCCGCAAAGAGAAAACAAATACTAACAAAATTAGCCAAATAACATATAGACATAGTTTGTTTACAAGAGATACACATCAAAGAACAACACAGGAAATATTTAGAGTTCCCCAAATTAGGAGTATTATACACAGCACTAGCTGAACAAAAACAGAGAGGGTTAGCGGTTTATATTAGAAAAGAAATTAATGCTAAATTGAGGTACCAAGATACAGATGGAAGAATATTAGCAATAGAAGTACAAACTGAACAGAAATCATGGCTGTTAGTGGTAATATATGCACCAAATGAGAATCAAAAAGAATTTTATTACAAATTACATGAGAAACTTATAGAAATTGGACAGGGAAACATTTGTATGGTAGGAGATTATAATGCGGTAGTGGATGTAAAAAAGACTATATTAGTGATATGAAAAATAAAAAGAAAAGGAAAACACTACCAAAGACATTTTTTGATTTGGCACATGAATTTAATCTATCTGATCAGTGGAGGAAGAGGAATCAAAACAAAAGAATATACATTTTTTTCAAACCTGCATAAATCTTGGTCTCGAATAGACATGGTATGAATGAATGAAGAAATAGGGCAAGACATGGAAACAATAGAAATAAAGCCAAATATATGGGCTGACCATAATCCTTTGGAAATAATTTGGAAAGGGCAGAAAATGGATAATGAACTCTCACATTTTGAAAGAAAAAGAATTTATAGTAAAGATTAGAAGGGAAATGGAATTTTTTTTCAAAGAGAATATAAAACAAGAATCATCAGTACAAATTATCTGGGACACTGCGAAAGTGTATTTAAGGGGCTTAGTAATAGCTTATATGGCAAGAAAAAACAAGGTGAAAAAGCAAACACAAAATATACTCCAGGAAGAGATTAAAAAATTGGAATCTAAATTACAAAAAGAACCCCAGGATGAATTGATTAAAATGGAAATGGTTTTGGCTAAACATAAATTAAACGTGATAGATCAAGAGGAAAGAGCAAAGGAATTGAAATTAGCAAAACAAAACTTTTTTGAACACACAAATAAACCTGGGAGATGGCTCTCTTATAAATTAAAAAAAGAGAAGGAGAAAAAAATTATTCAGGAACTACATGACAAAAATGGAGAGTCACAATATAAAATGGATAAAAAGAAAGAAATAATTCAGAACTATTTTGAGTCACTATACAAAAAAGAGGAAACAGATGTGGAGAGTATTAAACAATACTTAAAGGTTAATGGTTTGCCAGAATTAAAAGAAGGACAGAGAGAAATATTGAATGGGAAAATAACAGCCTCGGAATTAAAAACTGCGGTGCAAAAACAAAAAAATAATAAAACCCCGGGACCAGATGGCCTTCCAGGGGAAGTATACAAGACCCTTTACGAGGACTTTGAAAATATATTATT